CCTGTTCTTAGTTGTTGTGACAAGTCTGAAACAATTTGTTATCACCTAACAATAAGGTTGATGATGGTAACAGACTTGCTACAAATTGTTCCAACAAGACTTAAGGTACGTTTACACGCTGCAGCGATTTGTCGGGCCGATTTTGCTCACTGCATGTATATAAATAACCTGTCGTGAGTACTCGCGTCAGCGCTTTGCGATTCACAAAATCGGGAGAAAAATCTGTAGCAAAGCACAGATTTTTCTCACGATTCAACGATTTTTCTTCCGTTGTAAAGTTGTTGAAAACTTTTCGCACGCAGAAAACTATAATATGAACAGACGAGAGAGCGGACAGCTTCAATTGAACGTTTAAATCGCTAAATGTCAAAGAAGGGGCAACCTGAACTATTGCCATTATCGATAGATGAGCAAGCGCTTGAAACAGTGGCGTGCTGGGTACTATTTTTCTGGGGGGGGGGCATTTGCCTGTCAACCAATCTGCGCCCCTATAATTTTACGTTTGATAAACGAGGGCCGAAGGCACGAGCCGAGCGCCGCAGGTGCGAGGTTTGTCTAGGGGGTTTGATGGAACTCCAGCCCAATCGTGAAGTGATGCCAGGCCTTTAAACAAAAGACATTACAAAGCACTGGTCAAATCAGAACAAGAGGTGCTGTCCGGGGGCATGCCCCCCCAGGAAAATTTTTGAATTTAGAGTCTCTGAAATGCCATTTCCTGGACTTTGGGGGAAGATTTGACAGGAATGACAGAATCTGATGGTCAGGAAACGGCATTATAACGTGTCGAAATTTGCAATTTGGTTAGAATTTAGTGGTAGTACTTATTTAAGTTGGGCAATGCTAACTACTTCCAGCTATTAATCTAACTCCAATTCTATTCTCTACTGATCTAGTGATCTGAATACATTTACAACTTACATCTCTTTTATATAACAACACATGAGTCACGGACCCCAACGCATATGCATTTTAAGGTTTCCTTGCCTGGCTGCCAAAAGGGCGCGTTTCAGCATTATTTCATTACTTACATTACTCATGATGTTTCTTGCGCAAACAACTAAATTGCGTACACAACTTTACGTTATCATAACTTCAATTATCTAATTTGCGCCGCTCTCATGGTTCGTGAAGCATAATAAAGGGCGTAATATAAGGGCATAATGCCAGGAAAAAGGGCATAATTCCCGTGATCGCTTCGAAACCTGACCAATATTCCGGTAATGAGACATTGCGTGTGATCACTGATCATGTTTCTATATGAACGATTTCGTGTGAGCCGTGAGGTAGCAAATTAGCAAATACGGTTAGACAAAATAGTCTATAATTTAATATATCGCTTTGTCGCCTATATTCTTAGTCTGTTTATAAGCCTATAAATACATCTCTTCAGTTAAATTCTTGGCGGAAGTAACTATATTTTTTTGAATTTCGCGTTTTTTTCCACCCACTTTCAAAATTCAGGGCGGGATCGGCGCCCCCTTTTCATTTTTGCGCCCCCCAAGAATTGCCAGCTGGGGGGGGGCGTGGCCCCCCCCTGCCTGCACGCCACTGGCTTGAAATCGTTCAGTCTCACAAAGTTCTTGGTCTTATTATTCAGAGCAATCTAAAATGGAACGAACACATTGATTCAGTCGTTTCCAAAGCATCTAAATGGTTGTACATTATCCGCACTTTACGCCGAAGTGGCGTCCCTGCATGCTGAAGATTTACTTGAGATCTATTTCGCGATCATACGTTCAGTGTTAGAACATTGTTGTGTTGTGTTGTTTGGCATAATACTTTACCTTCGTATCTTGCTAACCAGTTAGAACGAGTCCAGAAATTCGCACTTAGAATTATTTTACCAGAATACACCTACTGTATATTAACTTGGTGTACGCAGTGCCAGACACAAATGATAAATTGGGTATTTTTAATGATTTGGTACAATAATAATAATATTTTATTTTTCGAAATATGTTTACAATACATTTCGTAAGTTATATATATTTATGTACTAGTTTACATTATACATATTTGGACAGAGGACCATAATAAACCAAAAGGCTTTTGCGAGTATAGTCCCCCGTGACAAAGTATTTAATACTAAAATTAATAAGTTCTCTATCAGGTAATTTTTCGTCAGTTTATCTAGATCTAGAGTACATACTAGCTATTACTATATAGAATTATTAATTAATTACATAAATATATATTGTACTCTATACGATAAAGATTAATTTCCGTAATCTACTCTATATGTTATCATATAATATGTTACCGTATATATATATTTTTACTGAAAATTTTCCATAATTTGTTCGAATTCGTTTTTTGTGGATTAAATTGGATTTTCGTGTGTTGTGTTGTGCTTGTGAACTTTGTTATTCAAGATGAAATGATTGTCAAAAAAGCAGGTGAATATCTTTTTATATAGTCATACATAAAAAGGCCAACACATATAGGTTATTAAGTTGATTAAGATTTAACATTTTAGATTTTTTGAAGAGAGGAGGGGATTCTGCATAATATGAGCTAGATGTAATAATCCTAACAGCTCGTTTTTGTAGTTTAACGAGTTTTTTTAGCTTTGAAGAATAGTTATTTGCCCAAACTATATTACCATAATACAAATAGGGGTATATAAGTGTATTATATAACGTAGTAAGGGTATCTATTTTTAGAAAGTATCGTGTTTTGCTGAGTATACCAGTTGACTTAGCAACTTTGTTAGCTATATAGTTTATGTGATCATTCCAGGTTAAGTGTTGGTCAAGTATCATTCCTAAAAATTTTGTTTTCACAACATGGACAAGTTGATCATTTTCTACTGTTATTTTTACATCATGTTTAATTTGTTTTTTCTTCGATTTAAATATTATATAATTTGTCTTTTTTATATTTAAAGTTAGTTGATTGACTTTAAACCATTCAAATTTTTTCTTAATTTCATTGTTTACAACTAATTCTAGTTGTTTAATATTTTTTCAAGAGTAAAAGAGATTTGTGTCGTCTGCAAAGACTATAAACGAGGTCAAATTACTTGAGTTAAATATATCATTTATATATAGTAAAAATAATAACGGTCCAAAAACTGAACCCTGTGGAACCCAACAGTTAATTTTTGCTTTTTGCGATAATACCTTATTATATTTTACAATTTGTTCTCGATCTGTTAAATAGCTGTGAAACCATTTCCTCGATATCCTCCTTATTCCATAAGACTCTAATTTTTGTAACAGAATATTGTGATTTACAGTGTCAAATGCTTTTGACAGTTCCAGAAATATTCCTATTGTAAATTCATTGTTTTCAATTGCTCTTTTTATTTTTTCAGTTAAATGTATAGTTGCCATCGTGGTTGATCGATTACGTCTAAATCCATATTGATTATTATGCAAAATATGATTTTTTTTCAATGTAATTCAATAAGCCTTTTGTACATTAGTTTTTCTAAGATATTTGAAAAACACGGTATAACTGATATTGGTCGATAGTTGTTGAACTCTTCGTTATTTCCAGCTTTAAAGATGGGTGTTATTAGAGATATTTTTAGTCCTTTGGGAATGATCCCTGTTTTAAATGTTAAATTAAATATATGGCAAAGCACAGTACTAATCTGGGGAGCTATTTCTTTAATTACTCTTGGATGAATCTCATCGTAACCATGACTTTTATTTGGTTTTTGTTGACGCATTATTTCTAACACTTCTGATGTTTTAATTTCAGTTATAAACATTGAATTTACATAGTTTGTATTTAAATATTTCTTAAAATCATTTGAATTTTTGTCGAACATTTTTGCTAGATTTGGGCCAATATTACTGAAAAATTCATTAAAATTGTTGGCAATTCCTTTAGGATTATTTATGTACTTGTTATTACATAGAAATGATGTTGGAAGCTGTGATCTGTGGGGTTTTTTCCTTATTAATTCTTTTATTGTATCCCATGTTTTTTAATGTCGTTTTTACAGTTCTCAAATTTTTTATCAAAGTAATTCTTCTTAGCTATTCTGACTATATGAGTTAACTTATTTCTATAAATTTTGTATTTAGCTTCATTTCTTTTGCTTGGAGTTTTTATGAATTTTTTGTAAAGTTTATTATTTTTCCGAGAAGATTTTGCGATGCCTTGGGTAATCCATGGGTTTTGATTTATTCTAATTCTTGTGGTTTTTATATGTCTTAGAGGGAAATGTTTATTATATTTATCTGTGAATGCTTTTTTAAAAGTGTTATACGATTCATTTGGTTTATGTATGTCAATTACATGTTGCCAGTTTTCACTCTCAATATCCTCTCTAAATTGTCGTATGTGGTTTTCATTTATATGTCTAATCATATTTGTCTGGTCTTTTGACTTGCCATTGGTGTTGGTTTCCTTATTTTACATATTAAAAATACCGGTAAATGATCAGATAAGTCGTTAAAAAGTATGCCACTCATATGTACATTATTTTCTATGTTGGTGAATATGCTGTCTATTAGTGTTGCTGTTTTTCTGGTGATGCGAGTTGGTTTTAATATAGTAGGTAGAAACATTGACATCATCTGGTTTAAAAATCTTGCTGGGTACTCACACTTTTCATGTTTCAAAAGGTCAATATTAAAATCTCCTAATATATAACAGGATTTCGACTCACTATCTATTTTACTTAAGGCTGCTTCAATTTTTTCTTCAAAATCATTGTACATATTATTTGGCGGGCGGTAAATTAATTACAAAGCTGCCTTGATAAACATACGCCACTAATACGCATACAGGTAACCAGGCCTCCAGCTCCGTGGATGAAAGACTTGAACATTAGGCAATTGCAAGCGCAACGAGATACCTATCGCCATAAAGCCCATCAATCAGAATCAGAATGTGACTGGCAAAGATTTAGAAATGTGAGAAATCAATTAAAGAAGATCAATGAGGATCCCGAGAAATTGAATGTCTATTTTGCAAATTTAGTCGAAGAATTAACTGGTAGAGAAAGTAGCTCACCTGACTATCTCACTTAGATAATAGACAGCATGCCACCATCACCTGGTGAGAAGTTCCAGCTGCGAAGGGTAACGTACAGTGAACTGAGTGAAGTCAAGAGAGCTTTACTGGGCATTAGAAAGGATTGCTCAACTGGGTATGACAAAATTTCTATCAGGCTATTACAGCCAGTGCTTGAATTTTTAATTTCACCTCTGACACACATGATAAATTCCTGCGTCCAAGAGAATATATTTCCTGATATTTGGAAGATATCTCGAATTAGTCCTATACCTAAAGTTGATAACCCAAATGGAAATGACGAATATAGACCAATCGCGATTTTACTCGTGTTGTCAAAGGTATTCCAGAACTTGGTGTTGCAACAAATGCAAGATTTTATTAGTAACTATTGCTTGTTACGAGAAACACAATCAGGATTTAGAAAAGGTCATTCTACTACTACTACATTATTGAAATTCAAAGACGATATCACTAAAGCAATGAAAATAAGGGTGAAATAACACTAGCTATCTTTGCAGACTACTCTAAGGCATTTAATACCGTAGACCCCGAAGTGCTGATCAATAAAATATTCAAGTTGAACTTTTCAAAACCGTTTTTACATTGGCTAGTTAGTTATCTGACAGACAGAGAACAATACGACCAAATCAATGACAAACTATCTAGCAAGGTTACCATACAATTTGGAGTTCCGCAGGGCTCCATATTGGGCCCTATATTATTTAATCTCTACGTTGCCGACATGCATCAAAACGTTCACTCTGAAGAAGAATGTCTGCAATACGCCGACGACTCAACCTTGTACCACCATTGTAAGGTTGATGAATTGGAAGTCGCCAAATTAGACTTAGAAGAATCACTATCAACTCTTAGTGACTGGTCATCACACATCAACTTGGTCTTTAATCATACCAAGACAAAAATGATGGTGTTTACCACAAGACAGATGGCAAGATATCATGGGCTAGATCAAGAACATCGGATTGAAATAGGAGTAAATGGTAAAAAAATTGAACGAGTTGCACAATGTAAAGTTCTCGGAATGCTTTTCCAACAAAATCTAATGTGGAATAATCAGATTACAGAACTATTATCATCGTGCTATGGTAGTATCAGCGTGTTGAAAAAGATAAAACGCTTTACACCCTATCATATTAGAAAGCAACTAGCGGAAGCTTTGATACTTTCTAAGCTGGACTACTGTAATGTTTTATACCACGGAATGCCTGAGTACCTAATTAGAAGATTACAGAGAGTGGAAAACACGGCGGCAGGTTTTGTTCAAAGACGATATGCTAACACTGAAAAAACTCTCGAGTTAAATTGGTTACCAGTTAAAGAAAGAATTGAATTCAACATTGCTAAGCTCGCCTTTAAAGCCATTTACTTTGAAAACTGGCGGTCTTATCTGCAGGGTCAATGTAAAACAGCAAGTCAGAGTATTACGTAGCAATCGCGATGGCAAGAAATTAGAAATCCCGAAGATAAGCAATACATTCGAACATTCAGCTGCCATAATTTGTAACAGTTTGCCAGAGGATATTAGAGATTGTACAATTTACCATAATTTCGTAAAAAAAACGAGAGTTGTATTTATGGAAAGGGCTCAAACTCGTACTAGTTCATGTGCCACTGTAGTCCTTTAACTTTTAATCTCTTATTGTCATATTTCTATAAATAGCATAATTAATTTAAGGATGAAGAGCCATGTAAATGGAAATGCCGTAATAAACCATTACTATTATTATTATTATTATTATTCGCTACGTCTTGTCCAAGTTAGCCTGGCACTTCACCGTCGCAACACTCTCTAAAACATGGGTTACTGAAAATATCGATTCTATTGCCAACAAATATATACGCAGATGGCTTGAAGTACCAATATCAGGAACACTAAGTACTGTCTTTCTAAAAAATAACAAACTTGGCCTGAGTATTTATCCTCCATCTCTAAAATTTATCCAGCGTCAAACAGTCCTCCGAAAAGCTTTAAAATTCTCTCCTAATGAATCAACTAACAACCTGTGGAGAGCAACCAGTAACCATACTAATATCCAATATGACGCTTATAACTCTACTAAGGAAGTTCTCAAAGATTTCCGTTCTGGACACGAAAACAAACTCCTAAACCAATTAACCAGTCAAGGATCCTTTTTCTGCAGCGTCACGAAGTTGGCTTTACTCCAGCTTAACAAGGTGTGGTCCATCGCCCAATCAAAGCTCCCGAAAAACATTTACAACTTTACCATTCGTTACATTAACAACTCTCTTCCGACGCGCAAAAACCTAAACAGATGGGCAATATCTTCAAATTCAGACTGTTCTTTTTGTCTTAGCCCTGAAACATCACCACACATAGTAGCTGGACGTCAGTTTTATCTCGACCGATTTACGTGGAGACACAATTCAGTCCTGAACTTTCTTGCTCATCAGTTACAAACTGTTGACGGTTCTACTCTCTACGCTAATCTAAATGGATTCAAAAGCCCTTCAATACTTACTGGTGATACGTATCGCCCAGATTTGTTATTATCGTGCTCAAATGGTTCCTTATATGTGGTTGAACTCACCACTGGTTATGAGACAAACCTCAAAAACAACGTAAAACGGAAGAAGGATAAATATAGAGAATTACTGAGACAGCTAGGTAAAAATTTAACAAAGTTAAATTTATAAATCTCTCCATCAGCTCTTTAGGTATTTTTGCAGAAGAATGTTATACATTTTTAGACATGTTAGAAAGTATTGGTCTGGACAAAAACCACCAAATGTGCTGCGTTAGGAAAATGATGACTATTGCTATTAGAACTACATATTACATTTTCTGTTGCCGAAATAAGAAATGGGAAAATCCGGATTTACTAACAATTTGACTTATCTCATTGTATATATATATATATATTGCATGCACTTTGTTCTGTTATTTTAGTTTAGTATAATTGTGATTCAAATAGCCAACCGTAAGTTACCTTTATGAGAGAGATTTACGATTGTATATGTATGTAAAGAAAAACATTTAATAAAGTTTCTATTATTATTATTATTATTATTATTATTATTATTATTATTATTATTATTATTATTATAATAATAATAATAATAATAATAATAATAATAATAATAATAATAATAATAATAATAATAATAATATAATAATAATAATAATGGAAACTTTATTAAAATTATATACGTATATATACAATTATAAATCTCACTAATTTAGGTAATTTATAATTGACTACTTGAACCTACTTAATATTTATATATTAATAATGAGTATCCTTAAATGTTCAGTAATTCCGGATTTAACCAGTCCTTATCTCTGCAGCAAAATATATAATATGTTGTCCTAATCGCGATAGACATAATTTTCCTGATAGCGAAATATTGGTGTCTTTTATCAAGACCTAGATCAGTTAACATATCTAAAAAGGAATGACATTCTTTTGAGAAAACGCCTAAAGAACTAATTGACAAATTTACAAATTTTACGGACTTAAATTGTTTCTTTTGCTGTGTAATGAGATCTTCGTATCTTCTTCTTTTCCGATCAACATTTGTTTGTAGATTAGACTCATAGCCAACAGAAAGTTCAAGGATATAGAGACAATCCGAGTTGATAGATAGAAGTAGGTCTGGGCGGAATGTGTCACCAGTTACAATTAATGGGCTTTTATAACCAGGAAGATCGACGAAAAGATTGGAGTTGTTTACAGGTTGTAGCGTTTGTGCTATGAAGTTCAGAACAGAATCATGTCTCCATGTAAATCGTGGGAGGTACGTTTGACATCCAGCAACTACGTGTAAAAGGGTTTCAGGGTTTAAGCAGAAGGAGCAATCAGAGTTGGACAATATTCCCCATTTAGTAAGGTTTTTACGAGTTGGAAGTGAGTTATTGATGTAACGAATGGTGAAGTTATAGATGTTCTTTGGGAGGTTTGATTGGGATTTAGACCATATACCGTTTAATTTCGACAGTGAAAACTTAATGACATTTGAGAAGAAGGAGCCTTGCAAAATCAGATGATTCTGCAGTTTGTCTTCTTGTCCGGAGGTAAAAGTTTTAAGGACTTCCTTTGTCGAGGAATAATAATAATAATAATAATAATAATAATAATAATAATAATAATAATAATAATAATAATAATAATAATAATAATAATAATAATAATAGTAATAAAAATAATAATTAATAATTATTCGCCGAAGGCGAGGTGATTATCGGTGAATAAAACCCGAGACGAAGTCGAGGTTTTTATTCACGATAATCACCGAGCCTGAGGTGAATAATTGTTTTAGTATAATTACATAGGTGATTATTTGGGGGAAAATAAAAAATACACATTTCTTCGTCATTTAATTGACAAAAAGGCTTCGGCCATCATTTTGAAAATCGCTTAGGTGATTATCGCGTAATAATCACCTCAACGGCAACCAATCAGCGTGGAGAATTTTCAATAATCACCTATGTAATTATACTAATAATTAATAATAACAATAATAATAATAATAATAATAATAATAATAATAATAATAATAATAATAATAATAATAATAATAATAATAATAATAATAATAATAATAATAATAATAATAATAATAATAATAATAATAATATATAATAATAATAATATTAATAATAATAATAATAATAATTATTGCCGTGCAACCCTATCCATTGGTTTCAATTCGCAGACAACGCGGCTGTCATCAGCAGCCAAGAAAATGAAAATCAAATTCTGCTCAATCGTTTCACAGTATGGTGTCAATGGGCCAATATGATAATACGTGTTGACAAGTGCTCTTCATTTGGAATTAAAAAACGCTCATCTAATTCTATCCAGTACCAACCTAAGCTGTTAGTTAATAACCAACTTGTACCCCGTATCGAACTCGGAGAATCTTTCCGCTATCTTGGTCGTTGTTTCGATTTCAACATGTCCGATGAAAGACACAAATCCGAATTCTGTGATCTGTTTAATGATATTATATCGAAAATTGATAAATTACCTTTACACCCCCGAAACAAAATTCTTCTATATAGTCGCTACTTACTCTCAAAAATCTCATGGAACTTAACAATAACCGATATATCTAGAACCTGGATTTGCGAATCAAACTTTAGATAACGTTGCTACATAATATATTCGAAAATAGCTGGAACTGCCAATATCTGCAACCCTTAGCAATGTGTATCTTCCCCAAAACAAATTTGGTTTGAATATCATTTTGCCTTCGACGAAATTTATCCAATGCCAAACTGTTTCTCGTTCAACTTTAAAAGCGTCTATAAACGAAGACATCAACAAATTACGGTCAATAACAAGCACGAACAAGAATATTCAGTATGATATATATCAAAATACGAAGGATGTCTTGAAAGCCTTTAGGAATGAAAATGAACAGAGACTTCTTTCTTCTCAAGTATCATCAAAAACTCCACGTCATCTTTCAATTCCTTATGGTCATTCATTCAATCCAGACTTCCTAAGAATATATTTAATTTCACTGTCCATTATATCAACAACTCCCTCCCTACTCGGAAAAACCTGGTCAAATGGGGTCTGTCATCGTCTGCCGATTGTTCCTTTTGCTCCGGTCCTCTCCTGAGTCACTCCTGCACGTCATCTCTGGTTGTAAAGCATATCTAGATGAAGGGCGATTTACGTGGCGGCATAATTCAGTCCTGAACTTCATTCCATCCAGCCTTATGAGTGCCGAGCGATCCAAACTCTACGTAGATTTGCCTGGCTTTATTACTCCGTCAGTTATCACTGGTGATCAGTTACGTCCAGACCTTCTCTTGGAAATTGAAAATAAAGTTTCATATGTTTTGGAACTGACTGTTGGCTTTGAAACAAATCTTAACTCTAACTCAGATAGCAAACATAAAAAATACCTGCCGCTTATTTCAGATCAAGAAAGTAACTATGATAAGGTAAAATTTGTTAATGTATCCATAAGCTCGCTAGGCGTTTTTGGTCAATCGACGAACACCTTAACTGATATGCTCAAGGAACTGAAGTTCGATGAACAACAAATTAAATACATTAAAAAGAAAATCATTGCTATTTGTATTCGCACATCATATTCTGTATTCTGTCAGCGAAACAAAGACTGGACTAGCCCAGAGCTTCTAAAATTTTGAACAATATTAAATTCCCTATTTTTGTAAATTTATATATTCCAAATATTTTTCAAGTAGTCATCGATAAACTACCTTTTATGAGCGAGGTTTATCAATGTAAATATAGTTTTATGGTATATTATGAAATAAATAAAGTTTCCATTATCATTATCATTATCATCATTATCATTATCATTATCATTATCATTATCATTATCATTATCATTATCATTATCATTATCATTATCATTATCATTATCATTATCATTATCATTTTCATAATCATAATCATTATCATTATCATCATCATTTCCATATATTTTGTTCAGTTTTAAGTACAACCTCGTACCCAGGGCCATTGCGCGGTTCAGAGGCTCTGGTACGGGAAGCAAAGGCCCTGGTAAACACTGGTCACGTGTGTCCAAAAATATTGGACATTTTTGTAACCTGGCCTTATTTAGGTCATGTTATCCCTGGGGGAGATGAGCAACTGAACATTGCAATGCACGAACTATAAAAGTTTCAAATACACATGATTTTGCCTTTGATTTTTAAAATATGAATGTATAACAATTGTTTGAAAATTCATATTTTAAAAGAACAGACAGCAGATTTTAGGCTTGTTTTTATTTTGATGGAAATTATAAACTTTGAAGTCACATGGATTTTGAATTACAGTATGCTATAAAGAATGCAGACATGCAGTATATTCGAGGTAATTATGATGCATATATAAAATTATATTCTCATATCTTTTAATATTTATCAGTTTATATATCCCAAATTCCAGCAGATTCGTGGCTGTCTGTTTGTATAATTAGTTTTCTTCATTTAATTACTCCTCCTCCTTTCGCTTTTGGATATAAACCCTCCTTCATGCCTGATATATTTTTTGGTTAGATCTCGATCCTTCACTTAGTTAACTAAAATCAAAATTTTCTGTTCCAGCTTGCTCAGAAAATATTCAATCTTTCATAACTGGAGTTCTCTTTGACATGTAAAATAGTTAGGCAGTACCCTCAGTAAGATACTTATTTAACTGGCTGACCATTACAGTAGTCAAAAGTTAATAAATGAATACATGCAAAAATTACAAATTAACTGCCCTCATACCAATCCATTGGTCTCTGACTCATCCAATAGTACGATAATAATAATACGATAATAATAGAAAAGTGTGAAAATGCCAACTTTACCTAACTTTGTGTGACAAGAAATTTATCATTAAATCTTTATCGCCTCAATACTCTGGTTGATGATTCCAATGGCCCCCATAAAATTCCAATGGCCCCCATAAATTTCCAATGGCCCCCATAAATTTTACTGGAGAAAATATTTCCCCCACTTCTTGCCATTAAATCTCCATAGCCCCCAATTTTACCCATCCAAGGGAGAGTCTTGTGTGGTCACACTACAGTAATGGGAATATGGGATAATGAAATATGGCATACTTTGTTATTTTTCTCTGTCCATGCAACACCAGACAATTTTACTTGTCAAATGTAAGATTAAGTGAGTCATAAAAAGTAGCTGGATATTCCATATCATTGGACTTTGGTTGTGAGCAAAATGTAAAAAGACAATTACCAGTAATACTGGCCTTACTACATCCCTATTATTTACCTTGCAACCTTGAGCAGTTGTGCTGTTACAGCAGAATGTGGTTTCAAATGACAGTTATTTTATGGCAATTATGATATTCCAGTGTGCCAGTAAGACATTTGTCGTTTGTTTCTCTTTTAGTATTATATCGAAAAGGTGATTACAGGGTATTCAGATCCTGGAATGATGTGAAATGGCCCTGACCTTGGGCAATTAAGTAATATATGAGTGGTGTAAAATAGGAAATTTTTTATTCATTCTGATTGACTAATAAAATTAGAAAGGTGAGAATAATGATGATGATGGTAGTGAAATACAAGTTGTGATGATATTGGTGATGCACAAGTTGTAATGATACTGCCGATAATGAAACTATATTGTATTTGTAATGAGACATATAATAGATTGGCAGTAATGAATGTGTATGACTTGATCAATTGTGCTGGTGAGAAGGCAATATATTGCCACCTAGATGAATTAAGTCCTATGCCATTTTGTGTTCAAAACTAACTGTTTTCATCAGCTCCAAACATAACTGGGAAAGCTGGTTTCAATCCTGTTAGCTGATCTTGAAACTATGTGCACACATATAAATTGTTTTACCCCTCATGAATTATATTGTTTGCCCAAAAAATCGGTTGATTATTTCATCTAGAAACAGTGTGAATGTTGTTTGAATTTGGTATGTTCACTCTGTGACAAGTGAAAGTGATATGTAATTCATGCATAATATGGTGATTTTTGGTTTCAGGATGTAAAAAATGAAATTTACTTACTGATAAAATTCAGTGTAACCATATTCATTAAGCCTCTGTGTCTCTCTAAGCCCTACCTCCTCAATACGAATAAAACTCTGCATAGCCGGATAGGACTAAATAGGTTTTTAATTTTACTGACAAAAGTATGATGCATCAAAACACCCAATTTTTTAGACCAGCTGTGAATAATACTTCAATTAAACCCAAAAGAATTTTTATCGTAAAGAAGTAATTATATTATTGTCATAAGTTGAAGAATTGACCATCATGGAAATTATGTAGGCTGAAGTATTTAAAATGTTTAAGAATGTATAATTGTTGGTTTTTAACCAAAGCCAAAGATATTTGAAAACAAAGTATCATGATATGTCAGTCAGAGTCTCGGTGCTCAACTATCGGTGTATTATATTATATTTGTGATGTTACTCTGAGTGTATAATATTCACCTGAGTACACAACACCAACACAGAAAAAATATCGGTGTATTATTTGTAAAAAGTGTAGGTAGTCACAATGGTGACAATAACATTTGTGTGGTTAATCTGGTTGAAGCAGAGAATTTAATTGATCTTCTGATAAAAGGCATGTTTTCTTGGGGTTGTAGCAAAGGCCTTTCATGAATTCTAAGACAGCCCAGTTGCCAATTGTATTAAACCAAAGCTATTTAATAGACAGGGTACAATTACAGCTTTTTTTCAAGATATTATTACAGTATATACTATAAGATGCAACTGACAAATGAAGTATTTCAGAAAAATATTTACCCTAAAATTATTAGTGACTTGTGCCGTGACTAATATTATGTTACAGCTTTGGTTCAAATTTCATAAATCATGAACCGATGTACAGTAACTGCAAATGTAAACAAATAGGTGAATGCACACCCAGTATACAGACTGTTAGTTGCCTTTAAAACTCCTAAGTCACATATCACTGATATAAGATTTGTAGTAAATTTGTTGTTTCAAGATCACTGTATATTATTTCTCATGATTGGTGATCACCCCCCCCCCTTCCAGACAAACAGAAATATAGATGATACATCCCAAAAAATAAATATGAAATTAACTCACACACACAAAGGTTTCAAGATACTATGTATAATTTCATTCACAACTGTATTTTAAACTACATACATACGGAAACCAACCTGTCACTCGACCAGTTAATTGTTTCAAAATATTCTGCTTTGATAACTACATGTTTAATACACATGAAGAATTTCGTTTCCATAGTCATCCATGTCCCCTCTGATTTATCCTTCCATAAAAGTACAATAAAATCCCAAGTGATATTCTTTAGTCAATACATAAAAATTACTTATAATCAACAATGTTTATTTAATTCTTTATAAAACGTCGCACACAGGCAGCTGCATTGAATACAAAATAGACCGTTTAAAGACAGATCACTCGACTAGTTTTCGCTCAGTTTGATCTTCGTCCTTCGGTCTTTGATAAGTATTACCGTTAGCTATTCCACAATTTGTTGAAAGAAAGTTCGTAGAATGCATAGATAATATATACCCACTCTTAAATCTCACTAGGAAAGTTTTATTTATCATAATATAAAAACTCGAAAACGTCGCGCCTTCGCGCTGCCATGTTTGATAAAATCAATCGGTTCCGCTCCCCCCGGATTGAAAACTAAATTATTGCGAAATGTCCAATATTTTTGGACACACGTGACCAGTGTTTACCAGGGCCTTTGCTTCCCGTACCAGAGCCTCTGAACCGCGCAAAGGCCCTGGGTACGAGGTTGTTTTAACTACTGTTTAATAAACGAGCAGGAGTGTTTTATTAGGTTTAAAGACACGAGCGCGCAGCGCGAGTGGCTTTAGACCTAATAAAACACGACCTGCAAGTTTATTAAACGGTTTCAAACACGACTACAAATTCAATAGATATACCGCCTTATTAGTATTCTTTATATAAAAAATACTAATGAGGACACGACAACAATAGATACTGCCTTATTAGTATTCTTTATATAAAGAATACTAATTAGGAGTGTTTTATCAGGTTTAAAGCCACAGCACGTGACATATTACGGTTGACATGTTTGCCAATAAGCTTATGAATTATTAATGAGTGTTTGAAGTGATGTTTTTTGCTTTAGTTCAATTTTGTTGTAGGCTTTTAACGCTAATCGTCGTTGATAAGTATGAATATCATTACCTATTTTGTAATGCGACAGAAAATTGCAACGTTAGTGTCATTTGCGGAACAAACGAGGCAAACTAAATTCTGGGCGTACACGCCTGTCTGACTTTTTTTGACGATATGAAGCGAAACGTTTAGTGCCGTCATTGTTTGGGGGAACAAAAACTCTGTTCCTTTTATAAAGGAACAAACTAAAGCGGAACAGCTCATTTCTTTTTACACTATAGGGATCATTCGTTCCGTTGCACGAGAAAGGAACGAAAACGCGTTCCTATTTTCGGAAATAAAGTTTTAAGTTGCAATATAACGCGAGATAGGAACAAGAATATACGTTCCTATTTTCGGAACTAAACTCTAAAGGTTTGCCCAATAATTAGCAAGCAACCTTTCCTCAGCAAAGTCAGTTTTCGATTATTTGATCGGTATTGTATGAAGATATTTCAATCGATGTCGATACTAACTATTATAACATAGTGAAGAGCAGAAATATATTGTGTTG